TATGAGGTGAATTGAAAAATACTATTTCTTTTATTTATCATTTTTACAGTGCAAATATTTGTAATCAAAAACACTTTGATTTCAATTACAACACAGAATACAATATATATGAAAATGTATAAAAACATCCAAAATATTTAATAAATTTCCATTGGTATTCTATTGTTTAATGGTTCAATTAAAACAGTGATTAATTGCGATTAATTGACAGCCCTAGAAATTATGCCCTTCAGAGTGACCATTGTGGATTTCAAAGCATGAATGCATTTACTCATATTTGTTAGTTTACTCTTAGAATACTCACGTTTCTCAAATTATTTTTAAAAAGTAGTGAGTTATTGGGAAAACATACAGAATAAACAGCACCTAAGGTGCTGTAGTTTTGGATTTATGTCTTTGGGCCAAATCCTATATCCAGTGTACAGGTGCATCAAGTTTATAACCACACATAAAATTACCAGACATTGGAGGACATGAAATAAAAAAGCTAAGATCCACATAAATCATTGTGTGTAGGCGGTGCAGGTATAAGATCATTATATATTAGTTATTTCTAATTTTACTAAACTTAAGCAATTAGAGAGTACGGTGACTTAAACAATTCAGGCTGAAATTTTTCATGCCATGTGCCTGCCTCAGGCTGAAATTTTCCAAAAATGTTAGTTAAGACAAGTCAGCCATGTCAGAGAACAAGATGAGGAAAAAATACACTGTCTGTGTTAACAAAAAATTCTTACAACCAATTTATTGAAAATTTCCTGTGTCTCCATGCTTTGGAGCAGGGACTTAAAATTTGGCAGGAGGGCGTCTCTTGGTTAAACTCTCTGTGTTTCTTTACTTCTGCATTCATAAGATGGGATAGACACAGATTAATAAGTTTTATGATTTATGGATTGGTTTGAATATTATTTTATATCTGTGCTTTTTCCTGCCATTAAATGTAATGAACCATCAGTAAACCTCCAACATCAAAACTGTTTCCTTTTGTGCCGGTGTGGTTGCTGAGTAAGCTCCTGGGCTGCAGACATCAGTATGTGGTCCAGTAAATAAACATCAGGTATATGATAGAAGAGGCTGGAATATTACCAAGAGAATAGTTAAGGTTTATAAAAGTCAATGATTTCAACCAATTAATAGAAAAACTTCCAAAGAAAGATTTTTTTTTACCTTATTTGAAAATACATGCACTGTTTGTGCAATAATAGCGAACTTCAGCCAGAGCCTCTAGTTTTGCACTCACAAAAGAGCATACACAGGCATTTGATCTATACAAAATGTGCATTTCTCATTTCCATGCACAAAGTCAAGTCCTTACTTCCTCATTTGCACATGAAAATACCTGTATGTGTGCAAAATAGTTACATGAACTTTTTTTGCAGGTGTGAAATCATAGGCCATAGCTAAATGTTCGGTTGCAGGGAATGGACTGTCCTTTCATTCCTCAACCTGTATTTTGGAAAACCAAACTACAGTACTTGCACTTACATACACAGCATCTAATCTTCCCAGTATATAGAGAAATGGAAACCACATGCAGAAGACTAACTTGGAGGCAAGGTTTATCCCTATGTTTGTACTGAATTATGAAGTCTTAAGTGAAACAGAAACTAAAGCAAACTTTCACTGTTGGGGAGACCTGCCCATGGATCTCGTTTAGTAGAAATAAACTCCAGTGTTTCTCAACTTGCATTGCAGATCTCACTATGGAATGATTCCAGATCTCCAGTCCCCATCTGCATTCCTCATACTCATGATGAGAGTCCAACTGACAGCTATTTTTGTATCTGGAAGTAAATATAAGTGTGTTACTAATACAAAGTGTTTCACTCTGGCTACAAACATAAAATGTGCACTTTAGTTACTCTTTATGTTTACAGAATATCAGGGCAGTTGATATTGATGCTATCTGAAGTACTACCGTTTATCCTGGAGAATCAGATGGCTTTTTTCAGACTGTTTTCCAAAAATATCTTTTATGCAAAGGCCAAGGATCGTGTATTTTAATTTCTGTGCTGGACTCTCTGTCCACCCATGATTAGTTACCAGCAGATTAGGTTACTGCCAGAAGAGGGTAGGAGTGTAGAGAAAGCATTTTATGTGACATTGTAGCAGAGTCTATGTACCTGCCCTATTGAAGTGCATAAGTCTGCCCCAGTTTCCCCTCCCAAGTCTCATAGCACACAACTAGTGTTTCATCTAAAGTCTCTCCTTTGGGGTCTGATTTATTGGTATTGTTAAGCAAGTATCCACCCATCACCTCTGAATCCAATCCAGGCTTTTCAAGTCCTTTCTGGCATTTTCAGCCAGATTTCACATTCACCCTTGTATTAGGGCTCCCTAGCGTCTCCCTAGCAAGGCCTCCTGCTAATCTTGTGCCTGCCCAGCCTAAGCCCTCTCTGTGAAGAGCGTTCTGATGGTTCCACTCGAGAGACTTCACCACAGTTATTCCCCAGGCAGTTGTCTGTCTGCCTGTCTCTGTTGAGCATCCTCTCCCAAGTCATTCCTGTTCTCTGACTCAGACTAAGAGGAAGCCAGACCTTTTCAGAGGTGTTGCTTCCAGCTAGTCACATGATCTTTTCCAGTCATACACTCCCTCTGACTAGGGGACTTCACCTGGGAGCTCCTTGGTTTTCTGAGTCAGGAGTAAAACAAAGACAGAACAGGGCCCTAGCTCCCTAAAAAGGGCCAGCTCACTCTGTGACACACATGAATGTCAGTGAAGTGATAGCTATATTACACACTTGCTTTTAGTCTTATTTCACCTAGGCTTTTCCCTGCTACTGCTAATTTGTGGTGTGGCAGAAGCAAGATCGTATGATATAGTTGAAAAGCAGGTGTGAAACATGTCTTTCATTTTACTGAATGCCACAAATAGTGTCTGTAAACCGCTAAAGAATAGCTTATCTTAGACTACTTCTTTCAGTGTCCTTTGTGCCAGTGGGTGCAACTCAGTCCATGGAACCTTCTCATTGCAGTTGGAGCACTCATACACACCTCCTGCCCTTCTCTTCTGCTTTCCTGGACATTCTGAGGGTGTATAAGAGGAAGTGTTGCACCCTCTGATGCCTCCTTTTGTTCCAACTGCAGCAGCAGATGGACTTGAACCTTTCCAGATCCTTCTTTCAAGTAGATATTAGTGTCGCAGCCTAGTGCAATTTGTAGTGTTAGTTTGTTAAGGAAAAGTTTTATTCTTAGCATAGTTAACAGTACTTAGTTCTTCAGCTTTGACTACTTCCATGATGGATCCAAAGGTGAAGACACCTGGCTTTAAAATGTGTGCCTCTTGTCTGTGGTCTTTCTGGTCAAGGCAGGGCCATATTTGATGCTTGGAGTGTCTCAGTGGGGGCCACTCTCCTTTGAGGTACTCTATTTGCAGCTCCTTTACCAGGGAGCACCTAAGGAATGCCATATCAGGCAGCAAGCCCTAATGCTCCAAGAAGCTTTGGTTGCGAAGCCTGTCAGATCTGATACCTCAAAGAGATCTGAACACAAGATGCAAGTTCCAAGATTGTTGTACAGTTGGTTCCTAAATAACTGGATTCAACCTTAAAACATTCAGAGACACTGTCAGTGCCAGCCTCTGAGATAACAACCAAACTGTAGTAAAAACCATCAGAGCTTCCTAAATTAATTCCTAAAAAGATTGCATGAGACAAGAAGTCTCCTGTTAGCAGAGCCAAGTTACGTTCAGAAAACTCCTCAGATCTGGATCGAAGAACACTGAATTCTAAACCAAAGATGAGAAGTTTGGATCAGGGTGAATCGTTACCTCAAGTTCATCCTTCAGTTCCAAGGATTGCATCAGATCCAAAGAGAGTTCTGGAACCAATTGCCAATTCTCCATTGCCAATTCTCAGTTTCAACTGTTGTGATATTATGAATACATTACATAGATCCACAGTTGGATAATTTACCAGATCTGAAAAGACATTGCCTAAAGGGGATAAAAAGAACATTCCTGCGAGTCACAGTTCTCAGAACTCTCCATCTGAGAAACAGAGGCGGTTGAATGAGCTATCTCAGTTTTCCATGGACCCTTCCTTCCTGCCCCCATTTTTGGGCTCCTTCTGTAAAGTTTTTTCATGATTCTCCATTTTCCACATATCAGTTCCTGTAGTTTCACCAATAGTGTCTGTTTGCAAATGTTCTGACAGGGCTATTATTCAACTCAGCAGCTCCATTGGTAACAAACATCTTGGATGCCTCCAACAAAGGGTGGAGAGTACACCTCAACAGATTAGCAGTTTGAGGTTATTGGAGCTCTCAAGAAAAGAGACTATCTATAAATGTCCTAGAATTGAGTGATCTGTTTGGCTCTCAAATCTTTTCTACCTCACATCCAGAAAAAGGTAGTGGAAGTTGTCACAGACTGTATGCCAGCAGTATATTACATGAACAAACAGAACAAACAGGCTCATTCTCAGCCTAGCCAAGAAGCAGTCAAATGGGTGTTTCCAGCAGAGTAGTTTGTCTCACAGTTGTGTATCTAGCAGGAGCCTAACTGAGCAGAGATGTAACAGGATTTGTATGATAATTGTTAAAGAAATTGGTGATAGATGACATCTTCAGCATGTGAGGATTCCAGGACATAGATATTTCTGCAAATCGAAAGAATATGAAGTGTCACCACTTTTGCTCAAGAGCAGGGCGAGAGAGAGAGAGAGAGCGAGTCTGTCTGTATCAGATGCTTTCACCTAAACTGGGGGAAGGGTCAGTTCTGTTCCCCCCCACCACTTTCCTCTCATTCAGAGAGTGATAAAGAAGATAAGGCAAGGTAGTAACAGGATAATTCCAGTTCCCCCCCCAAGACAAGAATAGTTCGTGGATCTTCTTCAACTCTCCAAGGAAATGTACAGACTTAAAAAGACAAAATGTGCAGTGAATGTAAGCATACTTACTGTGGATCAATTTGCAGAAGCTGGCATTTCATTTCTGCGTTTGATAGTATTGAAAGTCTGTAATCATAAATATTGTGCTTTGATTCTCAATTTTTTGTGTAGATTATGGAGCCTTGCTGATCATGCCTTGATTGCTCGCTGTAATATGGAAGAAGCTGTGCGCAGTGTATCTTTCAGTCCTGATGGATCTCAGCTAGCTCTTGGAATGAAAGATGGCTCCTTCATTGTTCTCAGAGTAAGGTAGGACAGTGAATTGTATTTCAGCACTGATGACTCTTCTAGTAACTCAAGGCCAAATCCTGAAGTCCTTTAGAAAATACTTTTTAAATCAGTGGGTATTTTGTTTAGAAAAAATTTGAATAAAAAATTATCAAAGCCTCTAGGTATTTCTCCTCAGTTGGCTTTAGAGGTGACTACTACTACTACTAATGTGTATTACACCCATGCTTTAATGTATAATTTTATTTAAATTTAACATAAAAAGTCTCTCATTTCATCACTAATAATGTTGTCTAAGTTTAAGCTTTCAAACTTAGCATTTTCAAGTGAAAAGCATCTGTCTTATGGCTTAGTAGCTCTGAAATTAAACACATCTTTTGGGGAACAGAAACCATGTTTATGACATGCTAATAGATGCTAGGTTTGAGAAGGACCTCTTCGGTCACCAAGTCCATTTCCTGCATGAATGTAGGAAAGCCTGCTATCTGTAATAATTTCTTTAGTGATGTCTGAAGGAAAGTATGTGAACATTTGCATGTTAAGTGAAAATCAAACTTCCCATGTAATAGGACAGCTCCTTTTAACTCTTTAGAATGATTTTTTTCTATTTCAAAAGCCATAGTACAAGCTATTTTTTGTTGGAATAATGGAATGGAAGAAGTGCAACAGCAAATGAAATATTTAGGTAGGAAGAAAAACCTATAGACAGTGGGAGATCTGTGAAAGTTGCTGTAGTACACTTTTACCATACTGGGTCAGATTTTAAAACATGTACCCACATTTCACCAGCAGAACAGATATATAAATAAAGTTCTCATTTGTGAGCAAAACTCAAGTGACTGTGCATGAGAACAGATAACTAAATATGTAACCACTACACATGCACATGCTGCTTGGTAAGTTCTATAGGCGTGCATACATATTTTGTAGCTGCAATGAAGGTATATGTATATGAAAAATTGGCCTATTATTTTTTCCCCATAAAATAATCCCATATTTTACATAACTCATTACCCAAATGGGATCTAAAGTTTCCAGACTTGATTCTCCGCTGCCTTGCAGCTTGTGTAAAGTTGTGCACCACTGTGCTAAGTAAGAGTAAAATGCTACTGTTCTCTTTTGATAGTGTTTTACCCTTAATTGCAGAGATGCAAATGCCTATACAAAGTGCAGAAGCAATCCACAGTCAGAACCTCCATTTTTCTGCTTCATGTTATATGAAATAGAAAACACAAACATAGGTGCTCATTACCCATTCATTTCTATGGAAAGCCAGAGCAATATAACATGTATCTTACTGTGCACTCTTTACTCCAGGAAGACCTTCATTTATTTCAACAGAGGTTTTGCATGAGTAAAAGATTCTGAATAGGGTCCTAAGAAATCATTTATTATTGAGGTTGGTGGATAAAGGAATTAATGAATACACAATAGAAGTAAAATGCATGATATTGTTCTGCAGTCAAGGCTTGTTAATAGGAAAAAAGGAACATTTCTTTGGATACTTGAAGTACACATCCCAAATATAAGTACAAAGGTATTCCTCACCCAGTGAAGGTTTGCAAAAGGTGTGCACTAAGAGGGTATTAATAATCATAGAATATCAGGGTTGGAAGGGACATCAGGTGGTCATCTAGTCCAACCCCCTGCTCAACGCAGGACCAATCCCCAACTAAATCATCCCAGACAGGGCTTTGTCAAGCCTGACCTTAAAAACCTCAAAGGAAGGCGAATCCACCACCTCACTAGGAAACCCATTCCAGTGTTTCATCACCCTCCTAGTGAAAAAGTTTTTCCTAATTTCCAACCTAGACCTCCCCACTGCAACTTGAGACCATTACTCCTTGTTCTGTCATCTGCTACCTCTGAGAACAGTCTAGATCCATCTTCTTGGGAACCCCCTTTCAGGTAGTTAGAATCATAGAATCATAGAATATCAGGGTTGGAAGGGACCTCAGGAGGTCATCTAGTCCAACCCCCTGCTCAAAGCAGAACCAATCCCCAATTAAATCATCCCATCCAGGGCTTTGTCAAGTCTGACCTTAAAAACTTCTAAGGAAGGAGATTCTACCACCTCCCTAGGTAACGCATTCCAGTGTTTCACCACCCTCCTAGTGAAAATTTTTTTCCTAATATCCAACCTAAACCACTGCAACTTGAGACCATTACTCTTCATGCTATCATCTGCTACCACTGAGAACAGTCTAGATCCATCCTCTTTGAAACCCCCTTTCAGGTAGCTGAAAGCAGCTATCAAATCCCCCCTCATTCTTCTCTTCTGCAGAAGAAATAATCCCAGTTCCCTCAGCCTCTCCTCATAAGTCATGTGCTCCTGCCCCTTAATCATTTTTGTTGCTGGACTCTTTTTCCAATTTCCCCCCATCCTTCTTGTAGTGTGGGGCCCAAAACTGGACACAGTACTCCAGATGAGGCCTCACCAATGCCGAATAGAGGGGAATGATCACGTCCCTCGATCTGCTGGCAATGCTCCTACTTATACAGCCCAAAATATACTGTTAGCCTTCTTGGGAATAAGGGCACACTGTTGACTCATATCCAGCTTCTCATCCACTGTAACCACTAGGTCCTTTTCTGCAGAACTGCTGCCTAGCTGGTCGGTCCCCAGTCTATAGCAGTGCATGGGATTCTTCCATCCTAAGTGCAGGACTCTGCACTTGTCCTTGTTGAACCTCATCAGATTTCTTTTGGCCCAATCCCCTAATTTGTCTAGGTCCCTCTGTATCCTATCCCTACCCTCCAGTGTATCTTCCACTCCTCCCAGCTTAGTGTCATCTACAAACTTGCTGAGGGTGCAATCCACGCCATCCTCCAGATCATTAATGAAGATATTGAACAAAACCTGCCCCAGGACCGACCCTTGGGGCACTCCGCTTGAAACCAGCTGCCAACTAGACATGGAGGCATTGATCACTACCCGTTGAGCTCGATGATCTAGCCAGGTTTCTGTCCACCTTATAGTCCATTCATCCAGCCCATACTTCTTTAACTTGCTGGCAAGAATACTGTGGGAGACCCTATCAAAAGCTTTGCTGAAGTCAAGGAATAACACGTCCACTGCTTTCCCTTCATCCACAGAGCCAGTTATCTGGTCATAAAAGGCAATTAGAGTAGTCAGGCATGATTTGCCCTTGATGAATCCATGCTGGCTGTTACTGATCACTTTCCTCTCCTCTGAGTGCTTCAGAATTGATTCCTTGAGGACCTGCTCCATGATTTGTCCAGGGACTGAGGTGAGGCTGACTGGCCTGTAGTTCCCAGGATCCTCCTTCTTCCCTTTTTTAAAGATGAGCCCTACATTACCCTTTTTCCAGTCATCCGGGACCTCCCCCGATCACCATGAGTTTTCAAAGATAATAGCCAATGGCTCTGCAATCCCATCTGCTGACTCCTTTAGCACTCTCGGATGCAGCACATCCGGCCCCATGGACGTGTGCTCATCCAGCTTTTCTAAATAGTCCCGAACCACTTCTTTCTCCACAGAGGGCTGGTCACCTCCTCCTCATACTGTGCTGCCCAGTGCAGTGTTCTGGGAGTTGACCTTCTTCGTGAAGACAGAAGCAAAAAAGCATTAAGTACATTAGCTTTTTCCACATCCTCTGTCACTAGGTTGCCTCCCCCATTCAGTAAGGGGCCCACACTTTCCCTGACCTTCTTCTTGTTGCTAACGTATCTGTAGAAACCCTTTGTGTTACTCTTAACATCCCTTGCTAGCTGCAACTTCAAGTGTGATTTGGCCTTCCTGATTTCACTCCTGCATGCCTGAGCAATATTTTTATACTCCTCCCTGGTCATTTGTCCAATCTTCCACTTCTTGTAAGCTTCTTTTTTGTGTTTAAGATCAGCAAGGATTTCACAGTTAAGCCAAGCTGGTCGCCTGCTATATTTACTATTCTTTCTACACATCAGGATGGTTTGTCCCTGCAACCTCCATAAGGATTCTATAAAATACAGCCAGCTCTCCTGGACTCCTTTCCCCCTCATTATTCTCCCAGGGGATCCTGCCCATCAGTTCCCTGAGGGAGTCAAAGTCTGCTTTTCTGAAGTCCAAGGTCTGTATTCTGCTGCTCTCCTTTCTTCCTTGTGTGAGGATCCTGAACTCGACGATCTCATGGTCACTGCCTCCCAGGTTCCCATCCACTTTTACTTCCCCTACTAATTCTTCCCGGTTTGTGAGCAGCAGACCAGTTCTTCTGGTCAAGAAGAACTCTGCCCCTAGTTGGTTCCTCCAGCACTTGCACCAGGAAATTGTCCCCTACACTTTCCAAAAACTTTCTGGATTGTCAGTGCACTGCTTTATTGTTCTCTGTGACAAAGTTCCTCCTCTGCCTTGGTGGATCCTGTGCTTATTGGCGGATTTGCTCGCCTCAGAGATTCACGGCAGCCGTCAGTTTGGCCACTTTTGCCAGTGGCTCAAACCTGCTGTTCACTCAGCTAACTTCATCACTGGCCAGCATGGGGAAAAGGAGGAGAACAATCCCTGCAGTCTCTGCTGGCCCACCTAGTGGGTTGGGGGACAGGCCAGAGACCTTCCCTTCTGGTGGGACCCACAATCAAGGTCAACTCCTCTTATATCAAATAGGGAGTTAGGGGGATGGTGGGAACCCGGGCCCGCCCTTTACTCTGGGTTCCAGCCCAGGGCCCTGTGGATTGCAGCTGTCTACAGTGTCTCCTGTAACAGCTGCGTGACAGCTACAACTCCCTGGGCTACTTCCCTGTGGCCTCCCCCCAGCACCTTCTTTATCCTCACAGTAGGATCTTCCGCCTGAAGCCTGATTACACTTGTATTCCTCAGTCCTCCATCTGCACACCTTCTCACTCCCTGCTCCTTGCACGCTCTCCACTAACTGGTGGGAGGTCCTTTTTAAACCATGTGTCCTGATCAGTCTGCCTGCTATAATTGATTGTAGTATGTTCTTAATTGGCTTGCCCGTCTTAATTGGTTCTAGCAGGTTCCTGATTGCTCTCGTGCAGCCTCTAGTGCAGTCAGTCAGGGAACAGCA